GACTCTGCTCACACATCACTGCTACCGCAGGAATCACTGTGTGCGTGCGGGGCAAAGCACTGGCAGTGTGCTGCTGCCTGCAGTGCCATCTCTGAGCCAGAGATGGGAGAATGCACAGCTTAGCCATCACACCTGTGCTCCTTAATTAATCATTCCAATCCAGAGCTGTAGGGACAGAGAACGAGCCTGTGTTTGTCCTCTTTCTTGAGCCCAGCTGTCCCCCAGTCCCTGTCCCCCCACCTGCAGGGCAGCAGCTGGGCACTATGCACTGCAGCAGCAGGCTTCCACTCCACAGAGCTCAGAGCAGAGCTCCCAGCCATGCACTCAGCCATGGCACAGCCATGCTTGCACCTGATCTCCAGGGGCATCCCGCCTTTCCCCCACCCCGGCTATCTGTGCTCAGCCCATTCCTGGTGACCGAGGAGCTCCCTTAGTTCTGCTCAGCAGCTGCTGGGATTCACGTGATGGAAATGTCAGCCATAGGCCTACGGGTGCTATTCTTGCAGGGACCATTTCCTGCTGAAGCCAAGGGAATTCTTGCCTCACGGGGTTAAAGACCTGGTGACCTCATCCCGCAGTGGCTCCATGCAATCAGCACTTTTACAGAGCTGCTATTTCATGCCCCTGAAACAGACTTAGCAGCTCTGTGGTCAGCACAAGGCTCTCCATTTTCTCGGAGGCCGGTGGCTGTGCAGCTCTGCCCCTGCAGCCCATGGGCTGTGCTTGTTTAGCAGTGCAGGGCTTTCATTCAGGCTGCGGGTTTTTTTCGCTCCCTGTGCAGCTCCGCAGCTAAATTTGAAGAGACACATGCTGTCATTAAACAGCCCCCGAGAAAAAAAAAAACAACAACAAACTCTGTCACCTTGTTTAACCAGAGCCAAAGGCTGACAGGAGCACATCCCTGTTGTGGAATTTCAAGTGGAACAAGCAGAGCTGAGCTGTGCCTAGGGGGATGCAGCCCCTCTGAGCCCCGGCGCTCGATGCTCCCTGCATGGCTGCAGGGCTGTGGCTCATTGCTGCTCCCCTCCCTCCAGACGCAGCCTGAAATAATGACCAGCAAGCAGCAGATGCTTTGCTCAGGCAGGATGCTATCTGCTTTTGACTGTGATTTTTTCATTAACCTTTTCTTCCTTTTTTTTTTGAACAGGGCGCTTTCAGCCTGATAACCAGAGGACATCAGAAATGAATGGGGCTTGCCTTCCTGGCAGACTTTTCAATTATTCAGGTGATACAGAGCTGGCAATATCTCCTTATATTTAACAAGGAAAATGAGCCCAGAAGTTAGAAAGCAATGTTGTAGGCACAGAGAGAAGTCGTGCAAAACAGTCATTAATATTCAAACAGCAGCGAGATCTGAACTACAAGCAAATAGCCATAAAAGCCATCAATGCCCAAACGTACCAACACTGGTGATCTTCTGGGAGACCAGGTCTTGTAGTAAAGCCTCGATTGCAGGGTTATGCCTGGAATACAGCTCGTACCGGTTGATGCCAATGTGGAATTTTAACCAGTTTGGGTAGGAGTCTATGGAGGTTTCTCCAGTTGGCAAAAACTCTTCATTCCCTTCATTATGCCTACCACCAAAAACAAACATGGGAAAGAGGGGGAAAAAAAAAAAGCCATAAATGAGGAGAAAGAAATAACATTACAGTTTGTAGCAGGCACCAAAAAACGGGGCTGGGGAGGGAGAGCCCTGCGGGTGGGGGAAGCTGGATTGGCACCTCCACTCTTCATGCCTGATTTGAAGCCCATGCAAGTCAGGAGCAAAACTGACAGTGACATAACTGAGCACTCACAGAGGCCCTTACACAGCCGAAATGTGGAGCTGCAATGTTGTGTTTAGATTGCATTATGTTACAAACGTCTCTTACAAGTTGGACCCAAAGAAAAGCAGCATCCTCAAGTTTTATTTAACAGAGCTGGGGATGGAAGTAGGTTCAGCAGAAACCTGACCTGTCGGACCCAATGTTCCCATTCCTTCCTTTTAATCAGGAAGAATAAGAAGAAACCAGCTCAACTGAGCCTGCTGCTAAAGAGCAACTAACTTGGGTTAGGTCACCCCTTCCTTAGCAGCACCATACTGATACAGAAAAGGACTGTGAGAATGACACGTGAGTGCTACATTTCATGTCTGCTGGGGGAACTTGGGGGGCAAACACACAGCAGCAGCTGTGTTGTGGCCATCAGGGACAGCTTCACCTTCCACCTATGGGACACAGCCACATTTCTCCTACCCAAAGGTCCCCATTGCTTTTAGCCATCATTCAGTGTTCTGACATTTGTGGCCGTTTTTCTTTTTTTCTCAGGGAAACCAGAACTTTGTCAGGTTTTCCCCTTCACAGCCTCTTCTGTTAAGCAGAGGAGCCCGGACCACTGACACGTGCAGGGGATAGAAATCAGAGATATTTATCCTCTCCCTCTGAATGTTCAGATCCCGCTGGCTGCTCCGCAGCTTCACAGAGCTTTTGCACGGTACAATGCAGCTGTTTAAACACTACAATGTCAGCGTGTTTGGAAGAGGGTGCTGTTGGATTAGACAAGCCTTTGGATTTCTCACTCATTGAGATTTCCCAGCGTTTCTCACCAGCCAACAAAACATTTGCAGAGGCAATGGAGCGCTCTGAAGGCTGGAGAGCTGCTGAGGTGCCAGGACACCAGGAATTAACTGGGGGTGAAAACTGGAGCTCCGATCAAAGCCCGAAGGCAGAACTTTGTGACATTAGACCTCACTTTGGAGAAAAGTGTGGCTGCTGGTGGCAGGACGAACTGCTCAGCCCCTGCAAATGAGAAGGTGCGGGGCAGGGGGGTCGTGCTGTGCCTGAGCCCGGCCTCGCACTGCTTTTCCTCTAGCATCTGCCTTTGGCTGCAGCTGCAGGCAGCATCCTGGGGACCCTCTGCTCCCGGCACTGCTGCGTTACGTCCCGTATTTCAGGGCAAATTTGGAAGGAAAACAACCGCTGACGCCTGCAGACGGTTCCGCTCCCTTTCTCGCTCCCCCCCCCCCCCCCCCCCGAATCCCTCCCTTTAACCCCGAGCCGTGACACCATTTCTTCGGGAACACCCCCTCAAAAAGGCCGCGCCGCAGGGCAGCACCGCGCCGCGTTCCGCTCCGACCCCGCGCCCCCCCTGCCCCCCCCCCCGGCCCCGATCCTCACCACTCGCTCTGCTCGGCCGCCCGAGGGTTGAACCTGATGTCGCTGTTGACATTGAAGAGGAGGTCGCTGTCGGCCAGCGGGGGCAGGGCGGCGCGGTACAGCGGGTGCTGGAAGAGGGCGGCCAGCGGCGCGGCATGGGCGGGGGGCGGCGGGCGCGGGGCTCCGGGAGCGATGAGCCGCCGAGGCCGCCCCGCCGCCCCCCCCTCCCCGCCCGCCGCCGCCGCTGCCGCCGCGTCCCCTCCGCCGCCCGCCGCCCGCTCCGCCGCCTCCCGCGATTGCGAGGAGAGGTTGGAGGCCGGCTCGGCGCTGAAGTCCTGCAGGATCCGCAGCGTGTGTTTGCTGGGCCAGCGCGGGGCGGCGCGGGGCGGCGCGGCGGGCGGAGGGCAGGAGCAGCCCGGGCGGTTCTCGGCTCCGCGGCGCTCCAGGCGAGGCAGCAGGTCGATCATGATGTGCATGGTGCAGGCGACGAGGAACACCATGAGGATCAGCACCCGGAACTTGCGGACCAGGAGCATTTTCATGGCCGGGAGCGGCTGATGAATTAGCGGGGGAGGGAAGGAGGGGAGGCGGCGGGGTCGGCCGGCAGCGGGCGCGGGTCTTCCGCCCCCCCCGGGGCTCCGGCGCTCTGCTGGCGGGTCGGGCAGCGAACGATCAAGTCAATAAAGTTATCTCCATAGGCGCCGCGACAGAAACAGGCTAAAAGCGATAGGTCCTCATTTCTCAGTATCATCAAGAACTTGGGAGGGGGGGGAGGGAAAAAAAAAATCGGGGAAAAAAAAAATGGGAAAAAGGAGCCTTTAAAATCAATAGGAAAACAAAGCCAGCGGCATTGCGATATCTAGAGCCATCTGTTCGCGGTTTCTCTTGCTTTTTATTACGGGGATCACAACAAATAGCGAGAGCTGGTTCTGAAGGAGAAACCCGCGTCTGAGGCTGGCTGCGATTAAATCATCATCGTTCAAAAAATGACGGGAAGAAGGGGGGAAAGAAGAATATTAAGAAAACCTGTACGGAAAGGCGACAGAAGGAAAAAAATCATCCATAACGTTTGGCAGTGCAGGAAACGCTGACTCCTTCCTTTGAATGCGCCCAGTGATGCAGCAGAAGCGCTCTCCGCTCTCTCCCTCTCTTCTGTGAGACTGCTTAAGAACATTGGCTGCAAAATCATTTTCTCCGAGCGGTTCCAGTTCCTTCATCCATCGCTTTGTCCGCCGCTCGGGAGAGATGAGCGCTCAGCTGAGATCTAGCCGGGGTGGCTGCTGTATCCGAGCTGCGCTTTGCCTTTGGCGTGGGTTGGGTTTTTTTTGGCTGCAAAACTGTCGGATGGCACAACTGCAACATAAAGGTTAAATATGGCACAGGAAAAAAAAAGAAGGGGGGGGGGGGGGGGAGGGCGGGGAGGAGGATTAGAGGAAAGAAACTAATAGAATTCGGTAGCGGTTCTTTATAGCAAAGAGGTCCCGGCTTTGATCTCTGCTGGGTCCTGCAGATCTGCCTTTAGAGAAAGGAAGAGAGGAAGGGAGGGGGGGGGGGGAAAGGGGGAGAGGGGGAGAGCTGCTTGGCAGGTGCAAGAGTGGAAACCTCTTTCAGCCACACTGGGTTCTGGAGACGGGTTGGACGGGTAGCTCTGCAGCTCCAGCTTCCAGTGGGTGTGTTAAATATTATGAGCGAGCCATGATTCCTGCCTTCCTCACGTCACAGTTAGGAGATTGGCTAAATAAACGCTACAGTGATAGTAACAGGAAAACCTCAACCAAAAGTGTTTTATTTTTTTTCTCCTCCTCTCCTCCCTCCTTCCCACCCCCACCCCCACCCCCCCTTTCATTCTACTGCAGCTCCAACCGGAGCAAGGAGAGGGCGTCTGTTCCACAAAGGTTTGCAAAGTAAAATTTAAAAAAATAAAAATATATTAATAATAAAAAAAAAAGAAGAAGAAGAAGCAGAAGAATACAGTAACCGAGCGGTGGCTGAGAGGGGAATCTGCAATAACGTTGCAAAGTGTTGCACGCGAAGTGCTGCGGGCTGTGCTGGGGGCGCCGGTTGTGCTCCGTCATTGCCGGGGCTGCAGGGCGGCACGCGGCTCCCCTCGCGCCGTAGCAAAGTCAGGGCGGAGCGCCACGCGCTGCTTCCTCAGGACCGGCGGTTTTTTGTAATCCCTCGTCCCGTGGGTTGTGATAATCCCGAGGTAATCTGCTCTCTGCCTGCTGGTGCTGCTGGCCCCAGGGCAGCGCCCGGCGGGTGGTGGGAGTGGGTGCTGGAGGAAGGGGTGGTTCGCTGTGGCCGGGGTGGGGTGGGCGGGTGGTCGGGTGTGCTCCGGGCTGCTGGCTTTGTGTGTGGCACGAGGCTCCTGTGCTCCTTAGCGAGGCTCAATAAGCATTATGTGGGGCTGCAGCAGGAGAAAGGTACGTGCTTCTGCCCAGCCAACACCACCTTTACATGGAATCATGGAATGGCCTGGGTTGAAAAGGAGCACAGTGCTCATCCAGTTCCAACCCCCTGCTGTGTGCAGGTCACCAACCAGCAGACCAGGCTGCCCAGAGCCACATCCAGCCTGGCCTTGAATGCCTCCAGGAACGGGGCATCCACAGCCTCCTTGGGCATCACCAGTGCATCACCACCCTCTGAGTGAAATTCTTTGCACACAATCCTCTCAAAGCTGATTGGGATGGCTCATTTTTCTCAGGATTAACCAACATTAAATATTGCCTTCCCCCGTTCAAAAGTATTTTTTACCTCAGGATCCATCAAGCACCATTCCCTCACTGGGAGCTCCTGCAGGGCACACTGTGCTCCCCTGGAACACATCCGTGTGCTGACAGGAGCACTCTGCTCTGCAGAAGGGAACTCACAGCTTCTCTAAGGGGCCACCACCCTATGTATGCGTGCCTTTGTGAGGAGCAAGACTTACTTGCTGTCTTGAGGGCCATTTTGGTACCCAGGTTCAGAGACAGTGCTTTGATATCCATTGTGTCACCCAGGACTCCTCAATATACGTGTGCCTGATGACAGCAGAAATCCCCGCTGTGGAACCAGAAGCAACGCTTCCATCTTCTTCTGTGTTTTCACCAAGGTAAGCTCAGCTAAAGGGTAGCTATGAGGATGATCACAAACTGTCATCACATGCTTTTGCCTTCCACTGCTGCTCAGTAACACACAGGTATGGTTGGCAGAGTAGTTTGGGCTGTAAGTTAACTGCTTTTCCATGCAGAAAGCTGAAACCCAACTTATTTAACCTAGATTAGGAAGTTAGCATTTTAGGTCCTCCGGGAAAAACACACAGCTTGATTTCAACTGAGGAATACACCTCTACTGGAGGGAGTGTGATATGCAAGGGGGGTTCATCAGGAATTACATGAACAAGAGCACTTGGTTACAATTTTCTGCCTACCACTGGCTATAGGCTTTCTCCTGCTCAGCATGGCGTGCTCTCCTTTGGGCCACCAGCTGTGCTGCATTAGCCATCAAGGCCAGGAAGACAAAAGCAGGCAGCTGGGGGTTAGGAGCTGTTATGGCTGTGATGGAGGAGAACAGGCAGAGGTGGTGCTCCGGTGGAGGTGAGTGTTAGTCATGGTTCAAGCATGTTCCCTTTATTATGGTTTGCTCTCAGAGGTTCTGAGTGAGTTGTTTGGAACTCTTTGGGGTCTCTGTGAGGTAGGAGGGTGCAGTGTGTTGTTTGCTTTGGGTGGCCCAGAAGGGTTTATGGGGTATGGGCTGTATTTGCAGTGTTCTCCCCCTCTGGCCTGAGGGGACGTGGCTTAGCAGGCACCTAGCAGGTGGAAAAACACTGAGATGTGAAAAGTTGAAGTTGTTTAAATGCATGTGGTATTTTGCAGAAACAAAATGCTGCATTAGGCAGTTCCAGAGTTATGTAAGGGAAGTGAGATTGGCCTTATTGTCTAATACAGAAAATTAAATGTAAGTAATTACATGGCTTTTGAAAGGTGAAGTAAAAGCACAGTATCATGAGCAGGTAAATGATTCCTTGAAATTGCTTGTTGTTCTCATCAGAAGGACCTTTTGTGAATGCTAGTTATTAAGTATGGTTTTGTCTAGATCGTATCTACTTATGGACTGAATCCTGTTCTGGACTTCTTGGTCCTTTTGTTCCTTTCAAGCAGTACAGATCTGTGTGGGGGTTGGAGGCTGCTTGCACGTATTCATTCTGCAGCTGGACATTGTGGATTGGTTTTTCCAGGACTGAAGCTCCTTGGAGATGTGCATGAAGAAGAGCTGCTTAATTCTTTACACTGCTTTCAATTTCTTTGGTGGCTTTCAGAAGAGCTTTTGCTCTTTTGCAACATGCGCTTCTTTGAGTGACTTTTTATAGTGTAGACAGCACCCATATGCTAGTCAAGGTGTTGAATTAGCAAGCAACACCAGCTGGAGAATCTCCTCTGAGGATCTGCAATAGAGTTATGACTCTACTCACCTGCACCTAATTGCTTTAAGAGATGTTGTTCACCTGTGGTCCTGGCCTTTCTGTGAGCTCTGGGATTTACTACACACTGGTTAACTTGGGCTGCCTGCTGGAGTTCTCCATTCCCATTGTCAGTCTGTGGGTGTTTTTTCCTTACATTTTTTTTCTTCAGTATCTTTCAAGCTCTGGACTTTCCCAGCAGGGATGAGCAGATGCTGTTACCAGGATCAAATTTTCCTTTGGTATTCTTAGTCAATGCTGTGAGAGACTTTAAAGGGGGAAAAAAACCATCATATAATTCTTTTTCTTGATTTCAGTACCTACAAATGCTTCATTTCACAGGTGACTACACTGATGAGCAAAGAGACTCTTCTTAATTCTGTAAATAGCACTTTAGGAGGACAGAGCAAGTGGTAACCTTGTGTTCGTGTTCCTTTTGGAGGTCCTCCAAGGCTGGTGAGCAGCTTGGAGTTTGGGACATGCTGGGAACCTGAATATCTGCTGGGAGGGCTGATATGACCTGTGACCAAGAAGGCACAGGCTGTGGCTGTATGGAGCTGAAGGATGAGTTCTGAGTGCAGCCAGGAGCTGGGCTGCAGGTCAGCCCAGATGGGAGACTGGACAGCACAAGAGCAAAAGGAGCAGGCAGGGCTAGAGCAGGGCTAGATCAGAGCCAGAGAGGTTGAACAAAGCAGGGTTGGGGCAGCCTCCCAGGAGCATCCCATTGCTTGTTGTGAGCAGGTGTGAGTGTGGTGCAAGAGCGCTTTGGTGCTGGAGCCCCAGTAAGGAATGGTTGGATTTGAGCCCTATCTCTGTGCCTTGGCACCTTCGCTCCAGCATAAGCGCAGCGTTTGAAGGCAGGAGAGGTAACTGGCAATCAAATGTTTGCCTTTCCAACTTGGAGCTGGTGGGGGAAAATACTGATTTTTTTTGGTAACTGGAAAATGTGAACTGGTGTTGAACCTTGTTGAAACCAGCTTTTACCCACAGAACTGATAGATGCAGAGATGTAGGGCATTTGAGGCTGCGTGGTTTGGATGGTTTCAGAAGTTGTTTACTTACTATTTTACCTCCTGAGATCCCAGATTGAGTAATGAGAATGTAAATATTCCTCTCTACCTGTATGGCCTTCAAATGGAGTTCTGTGTGTGGCCAACAGTTTTTCATTACTGCTGTGCAGAGTTGGACCAGTATTACTCCTGTAAGAGCAATGCTGTGTTAACAAGGAAATAACTTCTCAATGTCATAATATTCAATTAAGAAATTATTGCGTGCAGCTCATATTAATAATTTCAATAAAATCGAGTTCCTTGCCATCCACTTTTTCCTCTTTCGACTATTGAATTAAAATGCCCTTTCTTCACTTTCTTTAAAGGATGTGAATGCTGTTGGAAATGTGACATTAAACCACTACAACCACAAGCCAGGATTGCTTTGGACCTAATGTGCTTTTTCTGATGTTTCAAATTAGCACTTAAAGGCAGAACATGCAAAAATGTGTTGCTTTTATTTAACAATACAATCAAGAATTCAGGGGCAGTAGTCACATCCTGGCATTCCTTCATTGTTTTGTGCACAAATTAATAGCTTTTTCTGCTGGGGAGATTTGTGCCGGCGTTGGTTTTCCCCCCCACTTTGCCTGCTCACCTCACTGAGCAGCGACAATGGTCAGTGTGTGTGATAAAGCATTCAGGTAAATAAGTGAAGCGTGCTTTGGGCTGAGTAAACAGACCTGGCTATTTTGTGTTATAACTGCTTACGGCCTGATGTAAAATCTGAGTGCAGCAGGACAGACCACAAGGCAGGCCTGGCTGCGTAGCTTCTGTTGATGTGGTTTTGTTGTTCCATCGAATGGGAAAATGGGGCTTCCTGTGTATTAACCTCCCACACTCTGAAAGTCACCTTTATTGCTGAGAATTACACCTGCTCTGCCTCCCAAACAGAAGGCAAGGCTGTCAGTGCTGTTTCAGTCTGCTTCTCGTTGATGTGTGAAAGATCAGCAGTACTTGTTTAAAGCAGTGCGATGTGTTGAAACAACCATGTAGGTCTGTCTCTTTTAAGTTCCTTGGATTGCCTTCCAGCCCAGGGTTTTGTGAGTTAGATGATGCTTTTGGTCCATTCTTTGACCAATCTCTTCCCAAAGCCTGAAGTGATGCAATCCTTCCTTCCCATTGTGGTTGACTGGAAATGCACTGAGCTGTGAGCTGGAGCTCAGTAGTGCTGGGAGGAGGCTTCCCCTCTTCTCAACAGAGCTGCTGGGCAAAGTGCAGCCTGTCCTGGAAATGCACTGCTAGCCTCAAAGGATTGCAGATTCCAGCCTCAGCTTGGGGTGTTTCCATTCTGTAGGTTGGGATTCAGATGTTCTGTGTGACCCCAGGTGTTGCTGAGGGAACCTATTGAAGGTGGAGAACTCATTAATTATGTGGGGCCATGAAGCAGAAAGCTTTTCCCTGTCCCCTTTGTTCCTCCTCAGCTGTTGCAGATCAGGAGTTAGCTCTTCAGCTGGTATCGGCTGGCCATGGCTTCAATGAAATGCCACCTCACTGTATCAGCTGAGGATCTGCTCCACAATGCTCAATTCTTCCACTGGCCGGAACAGAGGGCTGCCTGGCAGCAAGGGAACAAAACCTGGCATTGTTGTTGCTGGAGTGGTGAGGCTGGCCTGGGGCAGCATTGCATTTGCTCCAGTTGTTCAGGCAGAGCAATGATCTTCTATATAGCTCCAGCAGCTCCTTCCGGTCTCTCCTGCAGTCGGAGGATGACATGGCAAACTAATTGTTGTTTACTTACATAATTTGAGTTAGTTTATCTAAAAATTATCTCAGTTTGCAAGACTTTAAAGGGTTATCACCAAATATTCTGCATTCCACATGGACTTTCTGTGTTCAGGTAGCAGCACTTGGATCTTTTAAAAAGCAAGCCATATTTTAGACCTGTATTAGACAACCATCTTGAAGATCCATTCAAATTGAGGGAGCTACGTGATCTATGCCTGGAGAAAATGCACCCTGATGCTAAAAACAAGGTGCAGCACACATCCTCATGGGAAGGCTCCGTGTGCTGATGTATGTAGTCACATAGCCACACTTCAGTGTGTACCAATACATGAATGGGGAGTTCAATTGTATGCTGGAGAAACTCTTCTGGGAATTCTTTTTTTGTTGCTGTCTAATTTGGATTTCTATGGGTGTTTTGACTTCTTACCTTGAGCTTTTTTTCCTCTCGGCTGGTTAAACTTTCAATCTGATCATTTAAAAAAAAAAAAAAAGCTGAGGAAGTTGGAGTAAACCACAAAGACATTTTAAGCATACCACAGCCTGAAATAGAAATTAAAATACTAATAAAGAAATCTCATGGGAGAGCCCTGCAGCCAGGCGGTGTAACGTGGGCTGTGAGTTCCTCTGCCCTGCGGGACACCAGGACTCCTTGTGGCTCTGTGGGGCTGAAGTGACTTCCCAGCATCATTTCCTAATTTGGTGGGAGGGAGACCTGAGAGAGTTGTGTGATGTGTTAATGAAAGTCAGTACAGGAGAGAGATGCTGATATTTTTGTCTCTTTTCTTTGGAGTGTAATTCATGCTCTTGACTTCAACCTCTCCAGAAACTCAAATCCTTAAGAATACTTGTGCAGAGGGAAAACCTGAAATGCTGGGG